TAAACACACATGTGAATGTTTGCACAAGAGCTTGGATTGACCCTGTGAGCGTCCAGCGGCTCTTCTCGTCCCGTCCGATGCACGAACACACGGATGCAGCTGAGAATCCGATACGCGGATGACCAGCTGCGCTCTGACAGGACGCAGAGCCGATCCAGATGTGCACGAAGCCTCCAACATGACAACAGAGCACTTGTTTTATTTTTCCTCTGGATCCTCACACGGGATGGGCTCGGATCACTATCCGCTTCCAGCACTTGTCCAAATATGGGTCCTGCCCCGCTAATGGAAACACAAATGCTCTTCCAGATCAGATACATATGTGAGATGGACATGTGTGTGTGATCGTCCACATCTGTGTCTGGAAGCGCACAGGGGTGTAAAATCATTTGGGGATTAGTAGTTTACTCAATTGCAATTCAAACTGACTACATGTACTTTTACTTCAGTGCATTTCCAAATAATAGAGGACTTTTTAATTGTTTTATTTATATTTAGGTGGCTCAGTGGTTGCTGGTTTGAGCCTCGGCTGGGTTGTTTAGCATTTCTGTGTGGACAGGGCTCGAAATTTCGACCGTTTTGGTCGCATATGTGCCTGAAATTTTATCTATGTGACCTCAAAATATATTTGGAAGCAGTTGTGCAAGTGCATAAAATTGATATTGTTTTCACAGCAAAGTGTTCACCACATGCGGATTTAGGAGTCATTCACGCATTAAGCATCTTTGCACCTAAAAACATCAAACGCAGCGCTCAGGAATGGTTTAAAACAATTGACATGTCAACTTGCTGCAGTAAACAAAGCCCGCAATGCTTGCCCCGCCTTCAAGCTCTTCTTATTGGCCCACTGCGCTAGAACAGAACACGAATGGATTGGTTAATATCAGCTGTCAATCACTCAGTTCCGATGACAGGGAGCTACAGCCGCGAAAATGTAAAGGTCTGGATATGAGAGAATATTAATAACACTGGCAGATTTAGCTTTAGAAACTACCTAAAGTTACAAATAATGTCACATCTGATCAGTGATCATGTAATGAATATCAATCCAGCATTTACACTTTTCAAAGAGTCGATAAAAGACTTCCAGTGGTCAAAGTCCGCTATGACTAATACAGACGGAGTTTTCAGATAACACTGTTTGCCGCTGAATCTACAGATTAAGCACGAGATGTTCTAATGTTATTTAATCCTTCATTTAAGCGTCACGATGCTGTCAATCGTGCGACCACCATCGCTAAACAGCATGCATTCACTGAGATGAAACTAAAATTGCAGCTCATAAAAAGAGTGTTACTGCAATTAAGATTCATTCATTAATTTTCTTGTAGGCTTAGTCCCTTTATTAATCCGGGGTCGCCACAGCGGAATGAAACGCCAACTTATCCAGCAAGTTTTTACGCAGCAAATGCCCCTCCAGCCGCAAACCATCTCTGGGAAAATCCACACACTCATACATTATGGACAACTTAGCCTACCCAATTCACCTGTACCGCATGTGTTTGGACTGTGGGGGAACCCGGAGCACCCCGAGGAAACCCACGCGAACGAGGGAGAACATGCAAACTCCACACAGAAACACCAACTGAGCCGATGCTTGAACCAGCGACCCAGTGACCTTCTTGCTGTGTTGTCGCTGGTTCGAGCCTCGGCTCAGTTGGCGTTTCTGTGTGGAGTTTGCATGTTCTCCCTCGTTCGCGTGGGTTTCCTCCAGGTGCTCGGGTTTCCCCCACAGTCCAAAGACATGTGGTACAGGTGAATTGGGTAGGCTAAGTTGTCCTTATTGTCCTTATTGTATGAGAGTATTGAACTCTGAAAACTGGACTGGCACAGTTTACATTTACTATAATCTTCTATGTGAAGCTGCTTTGACACAATCTACACTGTAAAAGCACTATAGAAATAAGCATATATTAAATTATAAAAATAATGGTACATTTTTATGGTAACACTTTACAATAAGATTCATTAGTTAATGCATTTACTAACATGAACTAATCATGAACAACACATGTACAGCATTTATTAATCATAATTGAACATTTACTAATGCATTATTAACATTTAAGTCCATGCTTGTTAACATAAGTTAATGCACCATGAGTTAACATGAACTAACAATGAACAAGTGTATTTTCATTAACTAATGTTAACTAGCATGACCAAATACAGTAGTAAATGTATTGTTTGTTCATGTTAGTAAATGCATTAATTAACATTAACTAATGAACCTTATTGTAAAGTGTGACCATTTGTATTTTCATTTATAAGACATTTGTTATAGATTCATAACAATTTTCAGTATCTGTTACACAATACTCAGTATCTGTACTTTTATTCTTTACTCTTTCCACCCCTAGGAGTGTAGGCGTACTGTGTTTTGTTCCCAAAAATGCCAATAATCCCAAGGATAATAAACTGGCTGTTTGCGTTCGAGTGAACATGTGTGTTTGCTCAAGTGTTGCTGATGGACAGTGAATGTGACCCCGTGTTTCCAGACCGTCCCGTGACCCCCACCGTCCCGGCGTCGCTGGCACAGCGTGGCGTACATTGACTGGGAGAAGAGCCCTTGTGCTCATCTGAGGCCAAGCACAATGTTTGAACACCTGTCAGGAGCGACAGGAGGGCCTGATATCCCCCTGCAAAGCCTCTCTCAGCTGGACGAAGCGGACCGGAGCGCGCTAGTTTACTCTCGAATGAAGTGCACGCATGTAAACTCCACATATTGTCTGCCGACAGCTTTCGAGACGCAGTTGCTGAATGGGTGAATCCTGAGTGCGTATTAAAACATGAGCAATATGTTTACACATATGGATGTGCGAATATCCTGCACAAAATAAGCCAATCAGATTCCTCCATCTGGCGTGGTTGTTCATGAATCGTTTATGTTTGTCTGCAGGGTTCAACATTAACATTCGTCTATTGGCGTGACTTTTAGGAAGAGAAATGTTACAATGTTATAGGAACGATAGTCTGACCATTGCTGGGTAAGAGTCGGCTTTTGATAGAAATTCAAACAACCTACTAACACACATTATCATGATTAGCATGCGGAAAATATATTACAAAACGTTCATGATAAGAGCCTGATGGTAGAATTATTGACCAGAACTTTAGCCAAAAATGTATTAGAGATACATTTTAAAGATATAAGAGATACTGCAGCGATACATTGGGATATAACAATTAATAACACGTGTTAGTGCAAAACAATCTCACAGCAATTTGTAACTTTTTGATTTAGTGGCTAATTTGTATGAATTCGTACGATCTAATTCGTACAATTTAGTATGACTTGCTCATCCCCCAATGACGGTTGGGTTTAGGGGTGGGGTTAGGTGTCACGCTACCTTTTAAAATCGTACAATTTTGTACGAATGAACTTGTACGAATTCGTACGAATTAGCCACTAAATTGGAAAAACGTAAAATACTTACGTTTTCTCGTGAGATCAGGCTGGCTAGTGCATGTATACGTCTGTGTGTCCTTATTTTCATATCCTGGTTGGGGCTTAAACCTGAACGCACACTAAGGTCTGGTTTATACTCAACGCGTCTGCTAGTTCGCTTGAGTGCGCGCTGCAATTGGGATGTCATCGTGGAGTTTGCTGAGATTCGCTTTGGGTGCACACAACATGATTTCGGTCAGCAGAGCGCATGTTTTTTTTTTTTGAGACTCAAGCAAACAGTGCATGGGCGTCCCGTTTGATTTGAGTTGAATATGAAACACTTTGAAGGGATTTTGTCTGAAACAGATACACCTGTACAGGCATCTTTATGATCCAGGATCATAGAGATAACCTGATGATCAATAATTCTTGGCTAGAAATTCCAACAGCCGTTGGAAAGGAGGAAAGTTTATGTTAAAAAGTTTGGAAAAACCTAAAGGTTAAGTTTGTTAAAGCCATAAGTGGCCATGGCAAAAGTAGAGACTCAGATACACAATTACAAAAATATGTTTTTCCACCATTCATAGGTTTTACACTGATGTATATATTACAATATATATACAGTATATATATTGTATTACAGTATATATTACTTTTTTTTTGGTTTATTCATGACCATCTGCATTAGCATAATGTTATTATTATTATTATTTATCTGCATATTTATATTTGTTTAAATAAAAACAAGTTTAGATTTGTCCACCTGTCGGGTTTTGGAGACGTCTGCATCACCATATGGGGCATAAGAACAGGACGTGTGTTTGGATTTTTTGACCACACTTCATTATTATTGCTCATTTTTTCATTTGCTGGAAATTAGAACTGAATTTAGAAATAGTTTTGAAACCAATCTTTGTGCTTAAACTAAATTAAATATGTAGGCTAATGGATGTCTTCAGTGGAGTGAGTACCGTTTCATTACCCACAAAATTAAAGGAGTAAAGAGTAAAAATAAAATAAAGAGAAAGTAAAGAGACGGATTTTAGGAGGCTTGTTCTTTATCCTCGCGCTGCAGATGCTCTTGTTAACTGTTATCTTACAAGTAAAGCGTTCAGTTTTTTTCCATTTACAAAGTCCGCCATGTGAATAGCAAATGCACAATGGCTTTTAAAGGGAATGAGAGATGAGACTCTGATTGGTTTAATGCATGTTATTCTCAAAACACACCATCACTCATTAGGAGAGTAAGCACAACCCTATTAGACCATTGGCTGTAGTGCAGAGCGTATATTTCCATCCTAAAAATAGCAAAAGTGGATTTGGACACGCACTTAATGCGCCATTTGCTTTAGACTTTGCGCCTAGATCGTTAAAATATATCCCATTATGTCTATTGTAGTTTATTTATTAATAATAATACTGAAAGTGATTTAAAAATCATTTTAAAATCACTATAAAATAATTAAGTATGGTTATCGATATCGACAATAGCATATAGCATATAAGGTTTGCATAATAGAACCATCATTCTGTCTATAGGAGTCCCCACAGGGATATAGGAACAAGACTCTGTGTGTGTGAGTGCACGTGCATGTGTGTTTGTAGATCTTACCTTCTTCTTGTCCCTCATGGAGCCTTTCCCTCTCACCATGATCTTGCATCCAGTCTCTGCCTCCAGCTGTTTGGCTGTGAGTCCCCGGGGTCCCAGGATCCGGCCCACGAAATTAAACTGCAACACACACACAAACACACAGTCACTTATAGCATCTGCGTCCCCATCGAGCCGTTAAACATGAACACTGAGATCTGACAGCGACTGCATGCATCAACAATACGACAAAACCTTTTTAAATCCAATTTCAATTGTTCATCTTTGCACGAGTCATGGGAGTAACTTGCATTGAACTGTAAACAATCAGTGCTTTAAAAAAAAATTGGCACTATAGATGTCATCCTCACTGTTCATCCATCAAATGCTACGTTAGAATGAACAAATGACTTGAAGCAGACAACGGATAACTTAAAAAACTCTTTCAAAAAAAGTATCTTCGAAGAAATATTACAGGCATTTATTTAATATCAAACTCAAAGTCAGCTTTTTTGTCATCTTCATTATAAATAATTTAATACTATTTTGTGTTATTAGTAAATAATAACATAAATGCAAATAATTTGAGTAAAATTATACAAATAATATATATAATATGATATACCATATATACATAGGGCACATTAAAGCAGGTTGAATGCAAACAATTGAAGAGTATAGTGCAATAAGACTTGATTGTTAACATGACGAAGATGTTTGTACAGTATATAATGAAAATAACAGGCGACGCAGTGGCGAATATGGTAGTGCTGTCTCCGCACAGCAAGAAGGTCGCTGGTTTGAGCCTCGGCTCAGTTGGCGTTTCTGCGTGGAGTTTGCATGTTCTCCCTGCGTATGCGTGGGTTTCCTCCGGGTGCTCCAGTTTCACCCCACTGTCCAAAGACATGCGGTACAGGTGAATTGGATACAGGCTAAATTGTCCAGAGTTTATGAGTGTGAATGAGTGTGTATGGATGTTTGCCAGAGATGGGTTACAGCTGGAAGGGCATCCGCTCCTTGAAACATATGCTTGATAAGTTGGCGGTTCATTCGGCTGTGGCGACCCCAGATTATTAAGGGACTAAGCCAAAAAGAACATGAATGAATGAATAATAAAAATAGCTGTCTGGAACACTTGCTCCTGATTGGTCAATCGTGACATTCCAAGGTATGTTATTCTCAGTTAACAACCTCTAAATAACACAAGCTTATCTGAGAACTTTGAATCACCTTGAATGAATGCGTAGGTAAGTATGCTTTATTTAGCCAGTTTCGTTTCTGTCAGCACTTGACTGTTTGGCACCGTCTTGTGATTGAATAATGTACAGATTAGTGTATACTCCATCAGCTGTTTTTCTTTCTGTCAGCTTTGGGTTTTCGACTGTTTGGCGCCATCTTGTGTCTGAATAATGTGCAGGTTAGTGTATACTCCATCAGCTGTTTTTATTTCTGTTAGCTTTGCATTTTTTGACTGTTTGGCGCCATCTTGTGGCTGAATTATGTGCAGGTTAGTGTATACTCCATCAGCTGTTTTTGTTTTTTCAGTCAGCTTTGCGTTTTCGACTGTTTGGCGCCATCTTGTGTCTGAATAATGTGCAGGTTAGTGTATACTCCATCAGCTGTTTTAGTTTCTGTCAGCTTTGTGTTTTTGTGCACCATCTAGTGTCTGAATAATGCGCAGGTTAGTGTATACTCCATCAGCTGTTTTCGTTTCCAATAGCTTTACGTTTTCGACTGTTTGACGACATATTGTGTCTAAATAATGTGCAGGTTAGTGTATTTTCCGACAGCTGTTTTTGTGTCCATCAGCTTTGCGTTTTTGACTGTTTGGTGCCATCTTGTGTCTGAATAATGTGCAGGTTATTGTATACTCCATTAGCTGTTTTTGTTTCTATCAGCTTTGCGTTTTCGACTGTTTGGCGCCATCTTGTGTCTGAATAATGTGCAGGTTAGTGTATACTCCATCAGTTGTTAAAAAAGACAAATAAATCGACACTTATGTGATAAAGGGTCACATATATCCATTATCCTATCAGCAAAACAATAGATTTAGTGTTGGCCTTAAACTTTTGCACAGTATTGTATATATTTGTAACAGAAATTGAGCTTATGGTTTAGTAAGTTTGCATGTTCTTCTTCCTTTAGGGAACTTCATTCTAATCCAGTCAATGTGACGTGTGGTTTGTTTTGAAGCATAACTGGACTCATGCAGCCTTACGTTCTGTCGAAATCCCATTTTACACTCCAGGCCTCCTGCACTAATCAATAAGCCTTCGGGGTTTGTTTTATCAATGTGCTTGGGATTCTGACGCTACGCTCTTTTCACATGACTGACTCCATGCATAATCGACTACTGGTAAAACAGAGTCACTGAGTATGTGCTTGCACAGTTTTTTTTTTGGCACCCTTCATCCCCGTCCAAGTGCCTTACAGATATGAAAGAAAAGAAGCAATTAAATTTTACTCTGAGGCACAAAACACCAGGGTGTTGGGTACATTTGTATGCATGTGCACTCAACCTTCCTATTAAAGTTGTGTGTGTGTGTGTTTATTTTTGCACGTGTGCTAAATAAATCAACGTCATGCCAACTTTAGTTCTAAATAACTGTATGACGTACTACATATCAAATATTTCCCGAATGATGCGTAACAAAGCAAGGAATTTTTCACAGTATTTCCTACAATAAATTTTCTTCTGGTGAAAGTCCCATCTGTTTTATTTCAGCTACAATAAAAGCGGTATAAAAGCCTGTTGGAAGTAGTTTATTTAGATTGAAAAAGAATCAAGATGATTCTTTAACACAAATTAGCATGTTGTAAACACGATTCTATTATGAATTAACACACTGTTAGCTTGATTCTAGCACGAATTAGCATGTTGTTAGCATGTTTCTAGCATGAATTAGCATGTTTCTAGTATAAAACAGGACATTGTTACCATGAATTAGCATGTTACTGACATAATTATAGCAGAAATTAACATGATTCAAGCATGAATTAGCATGTTACTAGCATGTTTCCAGTATAAATTAGCATCTTGTTAGCATAACTTTGCATGTTTCTAGCATGAATTAGCATGTTACTAGTATGATGCTAGCATCAATTAACATGTTATTAGCATAATTCTAGCATGAATTAGCATGTTACTAGCATGACTAGCACAAATTAGTATGTTGTTAGCATGACTCTAACATGAATTAGCATGCTGTTAGTATGAATTAGCATGTTAATAGCATGATTCTAGCACGAATTAGTATGTTACTAATGTGTTTCTAACAGGAATTAGCATGTTGCTAGCATGATTCTAGCATAATTTTGCATGTTACTAGCATGATTCTAGTGTGTTACTAGCATTATTCTAGCATGAATTCGCTTGCTTCTAGCATGAATAAGAATGAATGAGTCAGCATGTGCTAGCATGACTAGCATAGCACTAGCTTGTATGCTAGCATGTTTCTAGCAAGATTAGCATGTCAGTAGGATGTTAAAAATATTAGCATGTGTTAGAATAGCTAGTCACAGTCTATGGGATAGTTGCTAAGGTGCTGAAATTGGTTGCTAGGGAGTGGCCAGTAAGTTTAAGGTTATCAGTGGTTGGCTGCTGGCTAGACTGAGTTGAATGAGCCCAGCTAGAAGTCTGGAGGATAGTCTGATCCAGAGTAATGAGCTCACAAATTTTGACCCAATGTTAAGTCAATGGGATTTCAGGGAATTTTCTGGGTCGTTTTTCGGAAAACCAAATGTCGGATCAGTTAGAAAAGACATAGCAACCCAAGTCAGACCATTTCGAAGGTTTGACGAAAGTTTGAAGGATGTAGCTTAAAAGGCTTAGGAAGAGATACACTTTAAAAATAGTCTCAGAAGACAGAAGAAGAAGTTTATGTAGAATATCAAAATGGTGGCCTTCTCAATGCTTTTATTCCAGCCTAAAATAAAACTCGAGAAAAAAAAAAATAGGACATACTGTAAAAAATTCCTCACTCTGTAAAAGATCATTTGGGAAATATTTGAAAAAGAAAACTATCAGGAGGGTGAATCATTTTGACTTCAACTTTACATACAGTATCCACATATCCGGAAATACCCTCATGGGCCGTCACTGCAAATAACAAGTTCTTTGAGCAGCCAAGACTCTAAAGGTCACGTATGTTCAGAGTCGAGATGGAAACTGCTCACTATATCAAATCAAAGTCATTTCCTCAGGCCTGCGCAGGCGAGTTTACAAGGTGCCCTTGGAGACGGAGTAATCAGTGTAAGAGACTCCAGAAGGAAAGGCTTCTCTCCGAAAGCAGCAGGCGCAAATTATCCGTCGCCGTATCCCTGCTGTATTCACACATCTGCCGGGATTAAACACACAGCGCATCGCAGACGGCCGCATGACCTGCGCTCTCCGGCTGGATTATGTGCCACTCGGGCCTGGAGAGAGAGCACTTCAACACAGACACATACGCACTGAACTGAAAAAATAAAAATAAAAAAATCGCAGTCATTCAGCTGTTGGCGAGTTCCCCTGATGGGACAAACCTGTTGCAGTGTCCTTCACTTTCACATTTCAGCTTGGACTAAATTTTAGAGTACAAAACTTATCCAACGTAAAGCACGTTAAATGTCTGAGGCTGGAAGCAGCTTCTGTAAACTGAAGGGTTGCTCATCTTCACATTTTCCACTATTAGTCTGCATCTTCCAGATGAGCACTAGTGTTTGCTTTGAAGAACTTGTCATAAATTTTTCGTTACTTTAACTTTTATTTATTTATTAATCTGTTATTATGTAACTATTTATCTGGCTATATATTTATTTATTTATTTATTTATTTATTTATTTAGCTATCTATCAATTTATTTATTTATCTGGCTATCAAGATTTATTTATTTATCTAGCTATCCAGCTATTATTTATTAATCTATCTATCTATCTATCTATCTATCTATCTATCTATCTATCTATCTATCTATCTATCTATCTATCTATCTATCTATCTATCTATCTATCTATCTATCTATCTATCTATCTATCTATCTATCTATCTATCTATCTATCTATTTATTTGTTTATCTAGATATCTATTTTTGTATTTATCTAGTTATCTATTTACTTACTACTTTAATTACTACTTTTTATCACCCTCAATTTTCATTACT